ACTGTAATACGTAATCAAGGATAATACAAAGACTTGGCTTCAGCAAGAATTGAGTCCATGCCATTCCCACTTACTTAAAATCTGTTTGAATATGTTAGGTTTAAGATATCTATTATATAGTTCCAGTTAGGGCTCATTGTCTAATATTCAAAACTTGATTGCTGAACATTTACTATGAATGTCCTAAGTAAAATCAGATGTTTGTAGGCCAGGAAAAGAATGCAGTTACAAAAGAATTCTGCTCTAAATTCACAATTTAAAAATTTTAATCTATAAATCAGTAATGAATGACTACAATTTTTCAAATACCTTTCTTCTTGTATTTTCTTCTAATCCCATCGCCCTAACTCCTGGCTATGAGACTAAACTATTTATGCAAAATTCAAATTAAAAAGTTCAAATAAGCCGTGCATGATGGCTCATACCTGTAATCCCAGTACTTTGGGAGGCCAAAGCAGGTGGATCACTTGAGGTCAGAAGTTCGAGACTAGCCTGGTCAACATGGTGAAACCCCATCTCTACTAAAAATACAAAAATTAGGTGGGCATGGTGACGGGTGCCTGTAATCCCAGCTACTTGGGAGGCTGAGGCAGGGGAATCACTTGAATCTGGGAGATGCAGGTTGCAATGAGCTGAGGTTGCGCCACTGCACTCTAGCCTGGGCGACAGAACGAGACTCCCTCTCAAAAAAAATAAACAAATAAATTGGGGGAGGCTAAGGAGGAGGATCAATCACTTGAAACCAGGCACTGGGGACCAGCCTGGGCAATGTAGCAAGACCCCATCTCTTAAAAAAATATATATAAAAATTAGCCAGCTACTGTAGTCCCAGCTCCTTGGGAAGTTGAGATGGGAGGATCGCTTGGGCCCAGGAGTTTAAGGCTGCAGTCAACTATGATAACCACTGCACTCCATCCTGGGCTACAGAATGAGACCCTGTCTCAAAAAAAAAGTTCAAAACTACCCTTACAAATTTTGAGGGGAAAAAAAGATCATCAGAGATCTAGTTTCCAAAAACTAATCTTAAGTACAAAAAAAGTGTCACCACTAGACTAACATACACAATGGGGCAGCACTGCTTTTCCAAAAGTAAATGGTATACTCGTAACAACACTAAGGCAAAAATTAAGTGCATTTTGAAATGAAAATTTAATATCATTGGCTTAATTTTAAAGTTAAATACATTTGAATTCCTTGAACATATCCTAATTTCTTGAATATTAGTAGTAATTCATTATCTTCATTAACCACCTTATTACCTTAACCAAACAACGGTTAAGTTTAGTTACTTGGTATAGTTTATTTTGGCTTAAAGTGTACATATATTTATAATATGAAAGTCTTTTTAAATGCTGGGGAAAGGATAATCATTCCTCTCCTAAATTTAAAATAGTAATATAAGAATTACTTACTTATATTACTGTGTGTTCTGTAAGACTATAAGGATATATAAAAGTATAAAATCTGTTCCATTTCAGAAAAAAATCAGAATTAAAGAATTTTAAGCTTATATAAAACTGAAAAATGCTAAGGAATGTCCACTCACATTACTACAGTATTTCCAAACTTCAACATAAATCAGAATCATCTGGAAGGCTTGTTAAAACAGATTTTTGGGCTCCACACTCACAGCTTGATTCAGTATGTCTAGAGTAAGGCCTAAGAACTTGCCTTTTTTTTTCAGACGGGGTCTGCAGTGGTGAGATCTTGGCTCACTGGATCATTTGCTTCCTTGGCTCAGGTGATGGCTCCACCTCAGCCTCCTGAGTAGCTGGGACCATATGCGTGTGGCACCAAAAACTGCTTATTTTTGCATTTTTTGTAGACACGCAGTTTCACCATGTTGCACAGGCTAATCTCCAACTCCCGAACTCAACCGACCCTCCTACCTCAGCCTCCCAAAGTGTTGGGATTACAAACTTACATTTTAACTAAAGTTCCCATGAGATGCTAGTGCTGCTAGACCTGGCAACACACTTTGAAAAGCCCTACTCTAATATACACTGCACAATTTTCCACTAAAACATATCTTTTTCCTCTTATTAAACTTACCGAAGAGTTTCTTTAAATGGTAGAGTATCCCATGGAATCAGAAATTTACCACTTCTTAAAAATTCTATTGTTATATATACATACACTTGAACCTAACTCTAATTATGATGAAGGCCAAACCAATTCTGGATCCAAAGTTGTGTTTTTTAAAAACCAATTATGGACTATTATATGATACCGTTAAAATAAAATGTCCAGAACTGCTATGTCTGTATAGACAGTAGACTAGCGGTTGTTTAGGGTTGGAGAGGGGAAAGTGATCACCAACAGGTATGAGAGTAAATATACTAAAATCTATTGACTTATATACTTCAAGCAAGTGAACTTTTTTATATAAAAATTCCATCTTAATAAAGCTATTAAAGAAATTGTATGAAAGTGTACACAGTAGCTAAGCAAATTAAACTAAATATTGCCATTGTAGCCACTCTTAGAATACATAATACTAATCAGAATAGCAATAGTTTTGTTTCTTCTCATCCCAGGTAAACCAGACTACCAAAATTACGACAGACTCCAAACTTCAAATCCAAAATCAACCTGATTACCTAGCATTCGTAAGGCCATTAAATTATAGGTATGTAGAAATATTCTTTGGGAAATTAATGATAGCCTCCGGAGTGATCCCATGCATTTGGCAGTAATACACTTCAACACTGAGCTGCAATTTTTGAAAAATTTGCTTCACCAAATCAGCTCTCTGCCCACATATCCACCAGGAGCAGTAGAGCTTCAGGGACAATATAAACACACGGAGGGAACTATCTAGACTTCCTCTTCTCGCTTTTCCCACAATATACAGTTTATATACCTGATATCATAAAACTAAAAATAAGGAAGTCCTCATTAAAATCACTTACTTTACTGCATAGGAATATTAGATGACTTATTAAAACTTTCCTTATATATTTTCATCCACCAGTCATTCTTATTCCTGAGAGAATTTCTACTTTCCTTTTTTGGTTAAGGAAACACCTATTCCAATAAAAAAATAAACCTACGACCAGGGGCGGTGGCTCATGCCTGTAACCCCAGCACTTTGTGAGGCCCACGTGGGCAGATCACGAGGTCAAGAGTTTGAGACCAGCCTGGCCAACATGGTGAAACCCCATCTCTACTAAAAATGCAAAAATTAGCCAGACGTGGTGGTGGGCACCTGTAATCCCAGCTACTCGGGAGACTGAGGCAGGAGAATCACCTGAACCTGGGAGGCGGAGGTTGCAGTGAGCAGAGACTGTGCCATTGCACTTCAGCCTGGGCAACAGAGCAAGACTCCATCACAAAAAAAGAAAAGAAAAAAAACCCCTAGAGTGTCTGTAAACTCTACCTTAAAAATAGAGACTTAAAGAATCTTTCCAAAGTTCAAAGATTTTAAAGCCTTTTATTACATTACTATTTCCCCTTTGAATTAATGTCTACTGCCCAACGACCCTGTCAAATTAGCTCTGATTTGTCTTTAAAGCTAACAGGACTTACGTCTCATGGGTTCCAAAAAAGAAAATGGGTAGTTTGTTTGTAGGTGGCTTTACAGCTCCATCAGGAACTTCATCTACCTAAAAGAAAGATGAGAAAAATTAAAATCTTTTAAACCATACACACCTCAACATTTATCTGAATAAACAAGAGCAAGACATCCAAAAGGGACTGTTATAAAACGGACTAGTTCTGCAGGCCCATAATCTCCTATCCCCAAATCTGAAACCCAAGAATCTCTGAAAACCAACATTTGTTTCAAAACTCATTTGGTGGCAAAACCTGGACTGATATTGAGGGTATCAGTCATTTCTTTTATCCACCTACTATTTCCACTGTTGTTTCTTTGCAGACATGTTAAGTTTGTCCTGTGCTATTCCAGACCACACTAGCAGCAAAATATATGGCATTATGTACTCCCTTGGACTTCCTAAAATCCCAAAATTCTGAATTATTAATCATATCAGCACTTCCAGTAAGGAGTCTGAACCTATTTGACAACCCTAAATGACAGTTCTGCAGAAGTCTATACAAATAACAGAATAATGTAAAAACAGACATTAACCAAAGTTTAAATCAGTTACCTACCAAAGTCTGTAAAACTTATGAAAAGATCCTTCACCAATATGCCTGAATCACATAAGGCTACCTGTTCCTTTTTCATTGCTCTTTCAACCTTTTAAATAATGTAACGAAGCAATCATCAGGTGCTATTATGTCTAACATATCCATTATACTTGTTACTTTCCCCTATCAATAAAGGAAAAACAGACCTCAGGACTAAAGTAGTACTATCTAACTAGAATTCAACAACATGTCAGCCAGGCACAGTGGCTCACGCCGGCAATTCCAGCACTCTGGGAGGTCAATGCAGATGAATCACAAGATCAGGAGTTCAAGACCAGCCTGACCAAGATGGTGAAACCCCGTTTCTATTGACAACACAAAAATTAGCCAGGTGCAGTGGCAGGCACCTATAATCCCAGCTACTCAGGAGGCTGAGGGAGGAGAATCACTTGAACCCAGGAGGCAGAGGTTGCAGTGAGCCGAGAACACACCACTGCACTCCAGCCTGGGAGACCGAGTGAGATGCACCCCCACCCCAAAAAAAAGGATTTAACAAC